CTGGCTTGACAGGCAATACGATATTCTTCGAGCCAAAGCCCAGGGTTTGTCTCTCCAGAGTACATAGGGATATTGGTAGGTGGCCGGTACCTTGGCGAGAAAACAACGTTGAGGATGTGCCGGCCAAAAGCCTGAGGGCCCGGCAGGCTGGGGCTCGGGCTACGGTCCTCGCCGCTGTCGTAGTGTCCACCGCGACGAGGATGATAGCTGCGGTGGGCTCCTTCTCTTGGGTCGCTGTAGGTACGTCTGCGGGCATCGAGGGTGCTACATGCGTCGTGGTTACGGCCGAGGCGCTGATGCACTGGGATCATGGCACCCTGCTTGCTGCCCGGTGGCGTCTGGTGGACTGATGCTTCCCTGGCGGGACACGCCGAGGGCGTGCGCTGGCTGGTGTCGGGCTCGCGTCGTCGAGACAATGAGCTTTCCGCCTGCTGCGCCGCCGCACGCTCGAGCAGCGTGTGAATTTCGTGGTGGGCCCGATGATCCTCGGGCGTTGCGGCCTCTGGAAGGCCATGGAGCAAGGCCATTGCGGCGGCGATGTTCTGGCTTGCCTGAATGAAGTGAGGAAGGGTTTCATCATCGGCGATGATCCTTCGGTTTACATCGCCGGCGGTGGCGTAGGCGCGCCCACCGTCTCCATGGCGTTCGATCTCTCGATCGATCTCCGCGTATTCCTGAACAAGCTCATGTCTGGCTTCATCGATCTCTCGCTTTTGGGCTCTTAGCTGCTCCACCCCCACATGGTTGGAGCCGCTGTTTCCCCTTCAGTTTTGCCACCGAGGTTGCCCGCCAGGGTAGCCTCCTCCTCGGAGACGCTATCAATGTGCCCCTCGGGGGTACCCATCATGAAACAGTCCCGGGAGGGGTGATGGCTCCCCCTGCTGGAATCAGAGCTAGAGGACGACCTTGGTTCCTCCGTGAGGAGGTTGTGGAGAGACTCCATGACGTGTTCGATTACCCCCATGAACTTGTTGTTCACGGGTGGCTGAACCATGCGTCGTGCCACAAGTTGGCTAACGGTCGCCGCAGCTTTGCGGAGACCGAATGGAAGCGCAATCGGGGCACTCCGTATGCGGCGTTCGGAGAGAGGGATAGTCCTCCGGAAGACCGTGTCATGTCGTTGGCGTCAGAAAGGGCGAGGCGATGCTGGTCCTCCCTGGACTACCGGGGTCTAAGGGAGACGCCGAGCTGGCGCCCAAGCCTCTCGTGGTTGAGGCCGATGGGGAGATATTGGATGGCGGTGTGAGCCAATGCTAACTCTCCTTCTACCGTGACGATGAAGTCTAGGCTCCCAAAGCGCACGTGTGCGCCTGGGACCCAGCTGATGCCGTAGTTAGCCCTACGTCCAGTTTGCTGCTGCTCGTGTTATTAGCACCAAAAAAAGGTTTGTAGTAGGGGGTACAAACGGTCGAGAGAGGGACATGTCCTATGTCTCTGATGGAAGGGTCGAAAGGATGCCAAGAGCCCGGTGGCAGCTCGGTTGTGTGTTATGTGACGTGTTGTGTGTGTATTTGATCCCCCCTTCATGGGGTGTCCTGCCCTCTCTTTTATAGACCAAGGGGGGTAGAGGAGTTACAGATGGGAGAAAGAGGAAAAAACCTAAGGTAGAGATCGCCCTTCGAGGGTGCCGAGTCTTCCTTTTCCCTTGAGCCTGTACCGCTGACATGGTAGACCATGCCAGGGATAGCACGTCCGCTGACCCTGATAGGGCCATGCCCTGGCCTTGCTTCAGCGAGTGGTTACGTCCCATCCTCCTCCGACGGACGGTGCGGCATGCCGGGATGCCGAGCTGTGGCTTCACGGAGAGCAGACGGGGAAATGACCATACGCCCGTCACTGTAGGTGATGTGAGTTCTCTCTTGGATTGTAGTGGTTGTCGTATGCTTATGTCAGGATCCACGTCGGAGGGCTGATGGCGGCGCCCACAACACTATGAGACAAAAGTCGGCACCTACAATACTGTTCGGACGCTGCTACGCCGGGAAGGGCTTAAAGCGCCCGTCCCATTGTATCCTGATGGTACCTTCCTGCAGGCGTGCAGAGCATGGTCCTCGGTACTGCGGTTGACCCGAATGCCCTGTCGTACCCTGTGCTCGTCATTATGAAGGAGCAGGGTGCAGTCGTCGGGCGAGGCAGAGCCAGCCCGCAGCCGTCGGGTGAGGCGGAGCCATCCCTCAGCCATCGGGCGAGGCGGAGCCAGCCCTCGGCCATCGGGCGAGGCGGAGCCTGCCCTCGGCCGTCGGGCGAGGCGGAGCCAGCCCTCGGACGTCGGGCGAGGCGGAGCTAGCCCTCGGAAGTCGGGTGAGGCTAAGTCTAGCCCTCGGGGGTCGAGCGAGGTGGAACCAATCTTCCGTCATTCGGGTAAGAAGTGTAGTAGCGTTCTTGTCTGACTGGAGGCGTCAACGTTCGATGGTCATTAGTTCTACCTCATTGGGTACCCCGGTATTAGGTCCCCGACACTATGGAAGACGTGGCTGACGCAATGGGGGACATGCGCCGAGGGGGGCATACGTTACACTTCCAGCACAGTGTGGATGGCACATGTCAAATGCAAACAAGGTTTGAAGCCGGAAGATGTCCCGATGGAGACGAATCCCATGCTCGATTAGGATGTTAGTGTAGAAATTGAAAACGCAAACAGGGTTTGAAGCCGGAAGATGTCCCGATGGAGACGAATCCCATTCTCGATTAGGATGTTTGTGTAGAAATTGAAACACTAGAAAAACCAAACTAAACTCCAAAACGCCCGGGCCTGCAAAGGAAATTATTAGGATGCAGGACCAGAACGAGGAACTCCAAGAGAAATGTGTATATGAGTATATGACTCCATTTCAAAATTTAGAGGAAAAAATGAAAAAAAAACTAGCCTAAAAGCATCTCTAAATGTCTTTCTTGAACCCGCTCTCTAAATTATTATATGGAGTCATTTAAATAGAAATAGTTCTCTATAAATTTTTTTCATCATCCAGCATTTTCTCTATATGTTGTGCCCATTCACCCACTCTATATCTTTAGCTAGCGAAAAATTCAAAGTAAAGGATGACATTATTTGGAGATCTACTTAAAAAAGCTGTCAAATAATTTTTTTTCATAAAATCTTTATTCTGGTCAGTAAGGAAGGATATGTTCCTAACCCATCCTAAATCTTCTCCGCTCTTCAAAACTCCTGCCTTCTGTCTCTACTCATGGAGATGTAGGCAAGCTCTCCGAATCGCCATTGACTCCACATCTCTTTTGATGTTTTGGGTTTTGTTGCTCTTGGGCTCCAAAAGTACCGAAACACCACGTATATCTTAGCTTAGGGCAATCTCAGTGTATAGTTTTTATAGATAGTTTATAGAGAAGAGATAGTGAAACCCATGTAGATCTAAAATTTTCAATGCACAGTTTCCATCTTGGTTTTTGTGGAGAAGCAAAATTAGCTGTGACAATTAGCCATGTAACCAAAATGGATTCGAATGCCACCACTCTAATGGCTTGCAGATTTGCCACAAAGATCAACGAAGAAGCTCCCCTCAGATAGGAACTATGAAAATCCTTCAGCTCCCCTAATCTAAAAAAAGTTACGAGGTACAGAGACCTTATTATAAAACAAATTATTTTTTTCGTTCTAAATTATAAATTATTTTGACTTTTCTAGATACACAAATTTTGATATGTGCCTAAATATAGTGTATGTCTAGATGCATAGCAAAACATAAACAACTTATAATTTAGAATGAAAGGGGTATAAATTCTAACATTAAAGGCTCAACTCGCTCCATGCTGTAAGTTCCAGCACATGAGCTCTGATAAAGAAACAATAAAGAAAAATAAAAAACACAAACCCAACCAGGGGCAGCGGCTACTCTCTCTGTGCTACTGTATTTTGTATATTACAGGTAGGATCATGTTGTTCACTTTTGAAGATACTCCCTCCCGACGATTTGGCTTTTTTTTTAATAATTTTTTTTATTATACATATAGACATATTTTATATCTAAGTGAGTAATAAAAGGTACGTATTAAAAAACCCAAAACATCATATAATTTAGAACAAAGAGCAGGTTGCTTGCGATTCAACAACATTTGCAACTTCAAATTAAGGCAAGCAAAAGCATCTCCAAGAGACTCTTCGGCCCCGTTGGGCTTGCTGAATTTTGGCTGAAACTGGCTGAAAAACACTGTTCCGGCTGAATTGTTGTGAGAGAAAAACACTGTTCCGACTGAAAAAAAGAAGCCGAATAGAGATTTTGGTGAAAAACTATCCTCCAACAGCTTTTCTAAATAGTCATCTAAATATAGCCATCTTCTATTTCGGATTTTTCGCTAGTCAAAAATAGAAGACGAGAATGGCTCTCTATAGTGCGCATAAGATATAGAAAAACTATTGGAGAGTGAAAAGATATAGAAAATGATTTTTATACACATGGCTCTCCAAATAATGATTCAGTGAGTGAGATTTAGAAAGACTTTTAGAGATGCTCTAAATTACAGACTTGTACTCATAAATCACAACCCTAGAGAGAAGGACCTTTATCCTTCCCTAATATCAAATTTTAGAAATCACCATGATCTGACGTGGATTTTGTTCTACTTCTTGATCCGGGCAGTTCAGACTTCAGAAACAAGACTAGCGTCCGCCACTCTCCCAGCGGCGGTACCTTGTTGTCACTAGAGTCCTGACACGTCACAGGACAATGGACGCTAACACGCTACAGACAAATCAGCTTTCGAGTTACTGACAAGTGGGCCCGAGTCCACTCGCGGATGGAGATTATTCTATTGAGTTCTGTTCTGGTAATTATTTCGAGCAACCGCCTGATCTGTCTCACTGTCTGTGCGAATGACCTCGCTTTGCTTCCGCCTCTGTAATGCACAAGTGCCTTCCCGGAATCACACACAAAGCACTTGTAAATAAAGCACTTTTATTTTTAATCTCACAGCCCCCGCTGATATTATTGTTCCCCTCCCTTCCCCACGCACTCATCCACCACCTCGACGCTGTGCGCCGCAAAGCGATGGCGATGGTCACTACTGACGCCGCCGCCACCACCGCCACCGCCACCGCCACAGCCACCGCCGCCGCCGAGAAGCCGCAGGACGCCGAGAAGCCAGACTACGCCCCCTACAACGGCGCTTCCACCGCCGCGGATGGCGGCACGGGCGCCCGCGCCCGCCGCGGCGGCGGTGGCCGTGGCCGTGGCGTGGTGGACTCGGTGGTGGCGCGGTGGCGGCGTGAGGACATGCTCGACAAGAGCCCCCTCGCGCTGCATGCCGCGGCCGCCGTCTTCGCCTTCGTCGCGCTCGTGCTCGTCGCGTCCAACCAGCACGGCGACTGGATGCAGTTCGACCGCTACCAGGAGTACAGGTGCGCGAGCGGACGACGGTTGCTGGGGGTTCGTTCGAACTCGGCGTGCTCTTCGATCCGTGTTTATTTATGGCTTATTATTGTTGCGTCTTCTGTTTCTCCCTAGGTACCTGCTTGCAATCGCGTCGCTGGCGTTGCTCTACTCGCTGGCGCAGGCGGCGCGGCACGCGCACCGGATGCGCGGCGGCGTCGACCCCGTCTCCTCAGCATCTGGGAGGCTTCTGGATTTCGTCGGTGATCAGGTGAGTGATTGCTTCAACTTTTAGTCTGCAGCTATAAATCTTGTGCTGACATGAGTGTTTCGCTCAATCAACAAACGTCCGATGTGTTTCGCGAGTACAGACATTCTACTTCCATGGTGAAGAAACACATCAATTCATCAGTAGTAGCATGTAGTAGAATTCTCTCCAGCAGCTTTTTTTCCCCATCTGAGCAATACAAGAATGGTGCGACTAAGGCCTTGTTTAAATCCAGGGGTAAAGTTTTGGGTGTCACATCGTCAAATCATAGGCTAATTAGGCTTAAAAGATTCGTCTTGCAAATTAGTCGCAAACTGTGCAATTAGTTATTTTTTTAGTCTGTATTTAGTACTCCATGCATGTGTCCAAACATTCGATGGGATAGAGAGTAAACTTTATGGGAGGAACTAAACAAGGCCTAACTTTGTGAGAAGAGGCACATCACCTTTTACTGTTGGATCAGTCAGATTGGTCTGTGATGCTCCTTTTCGAGGCACACCTTCAACTAGAGAACCTAATACCCCTTTCAGTTTCTTTTTGGAAGAAACTAAGAAAAAGGATTGTGGGCTAGAAGCTCTCAAGTCTCAAGAATGGTCCAATAATGTGGGCAATACTAGTACCAGCGCATCCATTACAGGGCAACAGCAGCAATCATGGTAATGTGGTGCCCATCATAGGGAGATTGGAGTGGTTGGACCAAACTTTGAAATGAGCTCGAAGTTGGGACTATGTTTTGAATCTTCAGTTGGTTGGAGATAAGTACTGCATGTCAAAAATTTGTTCATGATGCCCAAGGATTATGCTTAAATGCATTGAAATACTCTGGTGTGGAACAATGAAGTTTGAAATGTCTGGGGGACCATGTCCACTTAGCCTGCCCTTGGGGATATGACTGTCTTGGTCCTGCAACTCCTTTGTTAAGTTTTTTTTTTGGGTGGGAGCCCGGGGGGAGGGGTCAGGTTCTGCAAATAACATGACCATTTACAGTTTCACTTGTTTCTTGCTAGTTTCAAGTTTCATAGCTTTAGTTCTCAAATCTCATGAAAAAAAATTCTAATATTTCAATCAGTGGCCCCACTTATTCTAAGGGTTACTTAAAAGTTAGAAGTAGATTTGCTGGAACTTGAATTTACTTTCCAGTGCATACCTAGATTTTGTTAGTCAAACGGAGTTAGAATAATAAGGTTCAAGGGACTTATGTGGCATTACATGAAGTAACCCTTCATGTCATGTGGTGTATTCTTATAACAGTTAAACTGGCTAAACTTTGTTGTTTTTTTACCTCTCTTGGACGTGAGAGTGTGAGCCTCTTGGCTTTGGTTTGTGTCTTGACTATCAGTTGTGTATCATCTTCGGATGGTAGAGGCTGGAACCTCGTTCTGTTATCTAAAAAAACAGTTAAACTGGCTAAGAGGGTTTTGTTTTGTATCAAAGTTCATGTTTATCCCTCTTAGATTCATTGATCAGGACTCAGGAGCTTATCTATTTCATGTCATGATACCATTTCTAGTGCAGCAAGATAACAAGAAAAAAAAATTGGTTGGCTGCAACTTCGTTCTTTCAAGACATTCTTTGTACTGAAACTGATAGTTACAACAATATTCGTTAGACGAAATTGATTGCAATGTTTAAATGATATAATTGAGCTGACAGAGATCTGTGTCGTCGTTTGCAGGTAGTTGCATACTTGCTGATGTCCGCGCTGTCGGCTGCCGTCCCCATCACGAACCGCATGAGATCTGCAGTTGTCAACAACTTCACAGATGCGACCGCTGCAGCAATCAGCATGGCCTTCTTTGCATTTCTAGCTCTTGCCTTGTCAGCAGTGGTTTCTGGTTACAAGCTCTCCAAACAAACATACATGTGAATCATCGTTGTAGAAGTAAAACCCATTAGGTGGAATATTCATTATGGATTGCTAATCCAAAGAAGAGAAGCCTCTGATGCTTCTCTTCAACTTGAAGGTCATCTGTTATGTGCTAAGGTGATTGTTGTTGCTTGCAGTAGCTTCCATGTGTGTACATAGAATTATACGTGGCATTCCTGAATATGATTGCTTTCCATTCTAAGATATTGCTGCCATGATGAGAACATTTAGCTTCTCTCAACATATGCAGAAGTAGAGCTGTATGCTTATTTCAGGGCTCATAATTTTCCTTGATTTGAAAAGTGAAATGTTTGCTATCCTTAGATCTTGTTTGGATGCATATGTATTCACTTCAATCCATGTGCGTTGAAGTGGGTTGGATGGAACTTAACTAAATTCCACCTCAACCCACTCCAACTCCAACACATATAATTGAAGTGAATACATTTACATCCAAACAAGGTCTTATAACATGCAGATGCAGCTGCTACTTTGTTCTGCGTGCATTACTGTTGGAAATCTTCTGGCTAAATTTCTAATTGACATGGTTGTTATATTTATTTTATACAAGGTTATCTGATATTTAGCTCCAACTTTTGATTTGAAGTCTGGAGTCTGAACAAGGTGCAGGTGGTCTGGTCTGATGGTTTGATATGGTTCGGATGGATCTAAAACAATATTTATAACCAAAACCTAATTGATGAATTAGCTGACATATTGAAAAGATTATGGCTCAACATATGCTTGGAAAAGTCTCATTTGGAAATGGAAAAGGTTCTATTTACCTGCCTAGATTATTGTCTATTGTCTGAGTGTAGGTTTCCCCCCAAAATAGTACAGTAAAAGCATTGGCTCTCTTTCGTTAAAAAAAAAAGCATTGGCTCTCCTACAATTAGTAAAACCAATTAGGCCCGGTTTGGTTTTAAGGATTTTCAAAGGAATTCTAAAGAAATCATATTCCTATAGTTTAAAACACTGTAGCAGCATTTGGAATGGAGGATTCGTGAGTTCCTTTCTAGAGGAAAGGCTCCCGTGAACGCTCGTTTTACAGGAAAAAAAAAGAATCCACTCAGATCTCTGGTTTTGATTTCCTTCGAGCTTGCCCAAGAATCCACATGTTACTTCCTGTGTTTTTTCTGTGTTATGGATTCCTGCGTTCCAAATACCCTTTCTAGTTATTTCCTGCGTTTTTTCTTTCCTCTGTTTTATCACTACACACTCACCTTATTCCTACGTTTTTTTCTATTTCCGTGTTTTTATTCCTGCGTTCCACACAGGCCCTTAGTTGTCCTCCCTAGCTCAATCCTATCTGTTTTTGTCTAACATGGTGGTGGTTTTAACTGTGCCCCTACGTTCTTCCTCCTTTCCCTCTCGCTCGGGCATTTCGGCAGACACCACAATTGAAGAAATGCGAGGAAGACGAAGGTCCGTCTGGAGTGAACAGGAGGTCTGAAGCGAGCAGCGTGTGGGGACAGGGCACATCGAGGTGTGGATGGAGGGGTCTTTGGGCACGTTCGTTTAGCTTACGAGCCGTACTTTTTTAGCGAACGCACATTTTTTTCTCTCACAGTAAATCAACCAACACTACTTTTTAGCCTGGCTTATCAGCCAAGCAAACAGGCCCTTTATGGAACAAGGGTACTCCCTCAGTCCATAAAAGAATGCAACTATAGTATCCGTGTAAGTCAATATAGCTCAAGTTTGACTAGATTTACGGTAAATAGTATTACTCCATCTGTTTCAAATTCTAAGTCGCTTTAATTTTTTGATACAAAAAATTTACTATGTATTTAAATATAATAATCTGTCTACATACATAGCCAAATGAATGAACCAAAAAAATCAGAGCGACTAATAATTTAGAACGAAGTGAGTAGCATTTATGTATCTAAATAAATTTATTGTAAAAATATATTCTATAACTAATTTAATGATACTTATTTTGTATCATGAATGTTTGTACCTTTTTTATATAAGTTTAGTCAAAGTTCAAGCCATTTAACTCCTCGAAAAACGAAAATTGTATTACGGAGGGAGTAGATTGTAATAGGAAATTTGTTGTTTCATTCCCTATTTTAAAGTGCAATGGTATTTTTATTCTTGCCTTTTTAACTGCATGATTTTGGAGGCTTTTACCTGTGTGCCATTATAAAAGTTAGTAATTACTTATAAACGATTAAAAAAGTTGAGCTCTCACAAGTGCCACTACTCTAAACTCTTTTGTCTTCTAAGCCATTCCGTCCGCATTCTGTTGGTTTTTTGCCGTTTGGTAGTCTTGACATGTGGGACCGGCCAGTGAAAACGACCAAAATACCCTTCTCTCATAACCCTATCCTATGGCTGTTTTCTCTCTCTGCTCAGTGGGGCCAAGCTGTCAGCGACTATGGCACCTTCTTCCTCCTCAAGCTGACGCCGCCTCTTCTCCGCATGACGCGTAGCCTAACTGAGTTCAAGGTCCCAAAGCGTCACGGAGCAGCCACCAGACGCGGTCCAGGCCCCGCCGGCACTGTTGAACCCGATGGACACGAAGCGGCGAGACTGCGCATGCGTGCGCCTCCTGCCTGAGGCAATGCTACCTCGTCTAACACGCTACACGACGCGCCTAGCCTCTCTGCACCCCCGCTTGCGCCCTGCATGGCCAATGCCAGCCTTGACCGAACCCACAGATGCCCGTGACCACCTTCAACGCTTGGGTACCGACAACACCCCTCCCTTCGACACTCAAATTCGCGCCACACTGAGACTCCCGCTTCAACTCCTCGCACCCGTGAGTAGCTAGGGAAGCTAGTTGAGCGCCCAACCCACATAAAGCCATAGCCGTGCTCCACCACCGCCCAATTTCAGAAATTCCAGGCCTAAAAGGAGGGTGAATAGGCCTTTTTCTGAAATTTAATCAACTTATGAAAACAATCAGAACGCGGAACCTCCAGGTTTGAGCATGGAGGTTCCGGGGCGCGGAGGTTCTGGGACTGAGCATGGAACCTCCGGGGATCAGAGTATAAAATCGATCTACTGCGGAATTTAACAAATGAAAAATAGATCGAACATAATACCAGCCTTCCTGGGGAGTATGTTGAGCTATCCAAACAGTCGGTTGCACCTAGAAGATGAGAAATTCATAGGTCGGATGCAAACCCTAAAAATCAATCAAAATCACAAGTAATAGCAGCAACAACAGCAGCAATCATAGTGAACACAAGGATTTATCCTGTGGTTCAACTCGCCACAAAGGCTTGTATATGTCCACGTTGTTGAGGTTAGCCACAAAGGCTATGGAGTCTCTTTCAACTCGCTCCTCTTCTCCAACCTATCACCAAGACAATAGGTTAGAGGGTTCCACTAAGTCACAAAGGGTAATACAAACTTCTTGGTGCTCAACCACAGCGGACTGGGAGCTATCAGGCAACCGCTAGCCGTCTAGGAGCAAAGCTCCAAGAGTAACGAACACACCAAGCGGCTAGGGCATCACCAAGTGCACAAGAATGGAGGAGAAGGATCTTCTCGAGCTTCCTCACACTCTCTAGAGCCAAATCCCTTAAGGAATCATAAAGATTTGAGTAAGGGAGTTAGGAGCACTGAGCTTTGAGAGAGAGCTTCTGTTCGTCAGGAATAAAGGAATAGAGAAGATGACCGTTGGGGGACGAAGAGTATGGTATAAATACCACCCACGTCACCCATAAAATGGTCAGGTCAGACAGACCCCAGAGCCTCCGCGTTAAGATGCGGAGGTTTCATGCATGCCAGAGCATATAAGAATTTAGCTCGGCTGGCTTTTTGTACCTGGGATTATTTGAGTTGAAGATAGAGTTTTGAGCACTTGGTTCCACCCAGACCACTATTAGTATCCCCCTTGATAGTACGGCTTGTCTTATAACTCAATTTCAAAATATAAAATGAATTAAACTAGCTCTTGGAGCCGTTGCAAGCCATCGATTCAAGTTGGGGGGTCTCCTCCTTTGTTTCTTTGCACCCATGACTAAAGATATGCTATCAAACACTTGCCAAAGTCATTAGTCCTGTAATTATGTGGTCAACATCACCAAAACCCACTTAGAGCTTAATTACACTTACAGACGGTCATCTTGCCGCCGTAGCAGTGCACGAATTGGGGTAACCTTGGTCCTTCGGAATTGGTTCAATTTCTTGCACTAGTGAACCCCTCGTGACCTCCTTGTGCTGGTGCTCGCCTCAGTTTGGCCAGAGACATCGCCAGCGACGAGCTAACGCGAACGTGCCAAGCTCGGTGCGCCACCACCCGCTCCCGCGCACGAGGCGGGCCTGCTGTGCACCATCTCCGCCTCGACTGAGCCTGCAGGAAAGCTCTGGCTGAGCCCATTTTCCTTCCCCGCCCCTTGGTTTGGCCGGTGTCGTAGCCTTTTCGCTGGAACGCCGCACCGCCGCCGCTGCTTTGCTCTGCTCTACGGCTGCCGCTATGCATGGCCCCACCGCCTAGCGCCATACTCGACCGAGCTGCAGCCAGCCATGGGCCCACGTGTGCTGGGTGCCACTCATCGGCCTACCCTCGGCACCGCATGCCTTCCGCCTAGCCAAATCGGCTGCCGCCTAGCCTGAGGCCACGCTCTACTCGTACGAGCAGGAAATATGAGTAGGAAAATGAAATAGAAAGAGCGCATGCTCCAGCGCTCCCTAGCCGGTGGCGACGACCTCCAGCGCTCCGTGACGCGGAGGCCATGGCTGGCTCCATCGACCTCTAGGATGTGCTCGACCGCCACGGGTGAAGGCCAAGATTGGCACCGTCGACCTCCAGGACGTTGAAAGGTCCTAATGGCTAGAGAGGGGTGAATAGCCTATTAAAAAATCTACAACAACACTAAGCCAAATGGTTAGACAAATATGAGGCAAAGCAAATTTTGCGCTAGCCTACTAACTAAAGAGCCTCACTAACCACTAACAAGATGTGGCAGAACCGTCCGAAATAGCATACTTTTGGAGGCGCTCGTCTTCTACTAGACACTAAGCACATCGAAAGTGAGCTACAT